TGGGGGACCAGAGCTGAGGGACAGGGCAGGAGGGCCTGGGGGACCAGAGCTGAGGGACAGGGCAGGAGGGCCTGGGGGACCAGAGCTGAGGGACAAGGCAGGAGGGCCTGGGGGACCAGAGCTGAGGGACAGGGCAGGAGGGCCCGAGACCCCTGGCACAGCCTTCTGGAAGGCTCAGCGCTGCAGTGGACAAGAGTGGCAGAGGGCAGCAGCCACATAATGGACACTGCACCAAGGTCCCTGCTCCAGGGGATGGAGGACAGAGGGGACCAGGCTGTGACAGCACCGGAGCTACTGCAGGAGGGAAGCAGGCTGGTCTGAGAGGGTGGCTGTGGCAGTGTGCTTAGAGGGACAAGCCGGCCTTCCCCGTCTGTCTCAGGTCTCCAGTCTACAGGAAGATGGCAGGAACAGCAGAAGGCGCCCAAGCACCCTTCACTAGATACCGAGGTGCACAGACCCAGAAACAGGCCAGTGAGGCAGGGCAGCGAGCCCGGGACCCACACAGCAGTGCTGTGGACAGCTGGCCAGTGAGTCCTGTCTGGCCTGTCTGGGGTCCCTCGTGCTCTTCGTGTCCTGAGTGGTTAACAGTAGAGGGCCCTGTCTCCGCGAGGCTCGGCTTTGGCAGCATTCTCACTGAGAAACACCCTGACCTGGACAGGGACTCGGGCGAGTGCCTGCAGGTGCAGCACCATGGGTGATGGTGGCCTGGAGTCCTTCTCAGAGGCCTGGTCAGCAGGCTTCTGGCTGTCTCCTTGCAACTCACAGCCTGACTGTGGCTGAGGCCTCTGTGGGGAGGGCCGGGTGCGCGGATGCCGGCGAGCCAAGTGCTAGGTGCCTCCTCCTTTCCCAGAGCGCCCGGGAGGGCTGAGGGCTGGGTGCTGATGAGCTCAGACTCCAGCCTGGGCTTCCTGCCCTCCCTCACTAGGACGGGCGTGGAGACAGGAGCCTAGGAGCATGGCTGAACCTGTGGGCAAGGGAACGCTGCCCTTTTGGGCTCCCTGAAGACGTTCAAGTGGGGTTTCCAGCCCTCCTGGGGAGGGGGCAGGTGGATAACCCTAGGCAGAGGAGAAGGAGCAGCGGGAGATGGCCAAGCCCAGCCACAGCAGACTGAGGGTACAGCTCTGGGGCATGAACACTCCCTTCCGGTGCCCTTCCCGGGTCTGCACACAGGGCAAAGGCCTCCAGGAGAGGAGCCCGGTGCGGTAAAGGCTTCCTGGGGCCTAATTGCCTGCTCCCTGGTGCATGGCTCACATCCTGGGGGCAGAGAGGCTCCTGGGAGGCCGCAGCCCTGCAGGCTCAGCTAGCTGCCTGCGTCAGAGCCCCAACCATGAGGCAGAGCCAGGCTCGCTGGGCGCTGACGCAGGGCTGGCGAGGCAGGCCGCAGCGGGACTCTCCTGCTCCTCTGAAATCCAGCTCCCTTCTCCTAGGCGAGCTGTGGCCGGGCCTCGCCACAGACTGGCTTCAGGAGGAGAAGCTGGCCACGGGCTAGGAGAAGCCGGTCGTGGCAGCGGCAATCACCACATACCAGGCCCGCATGTCCAGAGGCCCCTGGGACATTAAGGACCTTTACCAGCTGAGCAAGAACAAGACACCTCCATATTTGGAACAATAAATTTTTAAGAAGCCAGACTGGAGTTCAGGACCAAAGCCACACAGGCAAATATGCCAATATTTAAACAGCTGGACACTGATGAGTGGACCAATTAGACGTGTCCATGCGCTCACCTTGGAAGCTGTGAAGCCCGTGTGGGTGGGGACCCACCACCTCCGAGCACAGTCCCACTTTAGCTGCTTAAGCTCCAAGAATGGCCCTGACCAGGCCCAGGCCGCGCGGACATCCTCCAGAGAAAGGAAAGGCACGACTCCCATGGAGCGCCAATAGACCTGGCAGCAGGCCGAGGGTGAGGCTGCAGGACCCACCCCACATACTTAGGGCATGGGCAACACCCCAGTCCTGGCCAAGGGGACCCGAGGAGAGCCAGCTCCAGGGCCATTCCCCGGGGAGCCAAGGAAGCCAGAGTAGCCCATCAGGCTGCTGGGGACAGAACGGGAGGGCTGGGTGGCCTCTTCTGCTCTTGGTGACATCCTGGAGGTACCTGCAGCGGCCAGCAACACCACGCTGCCTCCCCGACTGTGCCAAGCACGGCCCGCATGGCCACAGTGCCGAGCTGCAGTCCCTCGGGGGCATGAGCTCCCAGAATGACATCCGCAGAGCCCCAGGGCAGGAGCACTGGTGAGAGTTGCTAGACAAGATCCTCGTTTCCCGGGCGCAGCAGGAAACACTGTACAAACGTGTCAATCACCTGTCATTGCTACTGTAAATCCATCATGTAAGGAAACCCAGGGAGATCACCCCACTCCTGAACTGCTCTTTTCGAGAACTCACCGCCTGTGAACAGGTGTCCCCGCCTTCCGGAGGCCTCCCGCCCTGTCACTCACATGGAGCCCAAGGAGACTAGGCAGCTGAAGCTGGCACTGGGAAGACGCGGGAGGCTTTCTGACCCCAAGCGCCATGTGTGGCCCCTGCCCACCACACCCACCGCCCAGAGTGCAGTTGTGAGCGAGGGATGGGGACGCAGCAGTCCCCCTTCTGCCAGTCAGTGCTGTCCGGCAAAAGGCCTCTGGGGCTGAGGGGCCCTGGGGTGGGTGGTGAGGGAACATCCTGTGCCCACTGGGCAGGAGACGCCTGGTCTTGGCCCATATGGGGCATCTAGCTTGGGGACGTTGCCACATGAGAGCAAGGCACCCAGGGGCCACCTCCTCGATCATGTGCCTTTCAGCCTGCAACAGAGGACGCAGCAGGAGAGACCTGGCGAAAGCCACCACTGTCTCAGAGCAAAAGGACCCTTGAGAAGAGCCTGGGCCAGGCTGGAGTGAGTGGTGATGGTGCCGCCCGCTCAGCGCTCCCTTCCTGGCCCTGCCTCTGCACGTGGTGGGAATCAGGATCCTGGCCTCCCAGAAGACTCTCCTCCCACCGCCCTTCCTCATCCTCATTCCTCAGGGAAACAGAAGGCCTGGACCTGCCAACAAGAGCCATGGCCAGATGCCGCGGGAAGGCAAGAGTCAAGAAATCTTAAATCTGCCATAGCCTCAGCACTTCCTTCAGAAAACCACAGGTTCCCTTCTATTATCTCATCCTCTCGTTTCTTTCTTGTAACAACATTATTGAGACATATGGTAGTTCTCCTTCATCTGGTTTCCCATGGCCAAGCAAGGTCCAAAAATATTGAATAAAAAATTCCAGAATTAAAAAAATTCCTAAGTTTTAAAAACCTGCCTCCTATTCTGAGTAGCATGATAGAATCTCACACCAACCTGCTCTGTCTCATCCAGGATGTGAACCAGTCCCTTGTCCAGTGTATCCTCACAGAATATGCTACCCTCCTGGTTAGCACTCAGTAACAATCTCAGTTATCAGTTAGTTCAATTACTCTGGTATCATAATGCTTTTATAAAGAGTTCAGCACTATCCACCATTGCAAATAAGAGAGGTCTACTAAAATTTATAGATCATAAAATTCAGACCTTTAAATTGCATGAATCGGTAGTTCCCAAACTTACATAGTTGTGTAGTCATCATTCATCATCTGAGAACACTTCTATCATCCCTAGTAAGAAACGCTGTCCCCACTGGCAGTCACTCCCCAGCTTCCCACAACACCCCCCTTGCCGTCTCTGGCCGTTCTGGACAGTTCACACCAGGAAAGCATCCAACATGTGCTGACTGGTTTGTCCCACCTGTGTTATGGCTCCCCACGTCACAGCACACACTGGTGGGACATGGGTGCCGGCTGCTTGGTCCTGAGGACCAGCGTGTGTGTGGCTGTCTCCTTCCCTCCTGGAGGAGAGTGGCGGGTCCTGGTAACTTGGAGTGCAGCCTTCAGAGGAGTCACAGGGCGACCCCAGCAGCCACTTCCCCTAGTGCTGGGATACTTGCTTCTAAGGCCAGCGTCTGACGAGACCTCACTAAGCACCTGGGTTCCCCTCACCCAGCATTGCAGCACACAATCCTGCCACTTCCTCCTGGAGGTGGCTTTGGTGACTCCGGAGACTTCTATGGGTACAAGGACCTCTGCGGGCTCTCCTGGCCCCAAACACCTCTGACAGTGTGAAGGGGCTCAGGAAGGATGCTTCTGGGACAGCACCACTGTAAAGCTGGGGTCTTCAGCAGTGGCTGGAGTGAATCCCTACTCGGTGAATGGTCTTAGGAAGCCCAGGAAAGAAGAGCTGACCACGTGGCCCACCCTGGGCTCCTGGGCCCAGTTTGCCGACGGGGCCGGGAAAGCCCTGGGCCTCTCCCCGTAGCTGCGTGAGCTGCTCCTGGCTGTCCTCCCCAGTCTCCAGCCCACATGCCCGGCCTGGACCCACCTTGCTCATGTGCAGCTGCTGCTGCTGGAACTGCTGCTTGTGCTTCTCCAGGAACTGCTGGTGCTGCTGCTGGATCACCAGGTGCTGCAGCGCCTGTGCGTTCTGCGGCAGTGGTGCCGACTGTGTGCGCCCCAAAGGGCGGTGCTGCCGCAGCTTGTGGATGGATGGGGACACCCGGTCCGTACCAACCAGGGGCTGTGAGTGGAGGGGCAGCGTTCCCAGGCCTGAAAGATACCAGTCTGAAGATAATATGGAGGAAGAAACAGCAGAGGGGGAAAGAGGAGGAAGAGAGGGGAGGAGAGAAGGCTGTTGAGTGACTGATGGAGACGACCGTGACGCACGCCTGGCAGCCCAGGCACCCTCTCCCAGGGGGCCACCAGCTGTCCTGCTGAGGGGCTAGTCCAGCTACAGGCAGAGCTCACGTGGGCTCGGGCTTGGAGACAGAGACTATCATCTGGAGGCTCCTGAGGATCAGGTCAATGCACTGAAACAGCAGTTCTGCACAGAAGAGGCAGCTTCAAGAGGTCGGGGAACACACTGCCGCTGGGGACTGGTCTATCACTTCTCCCACAGGGACCTCTGTGTCCAGAGCACCCATGGAAGTTGGGTGTTCTAGCTCTGGTATGCACATCCTTACACATCCCATGACCAGCAAGAGGGAAGGTCTGTGGCCAATCTGCAGGAACTCAGAGACAAACTGAGAGCAAAACTGGCCACGAGACACCAGGCCACCTCCAAGGCCCTGAGCTCTGCTGAGCTGCACTGCACCTTGTTTGGTGCACATTCACTGTGAACCAAACCCAGGTGGCTGTGGGAAGTGAGGAGAGGAAGCAGGCAGGAGGAAGCGGGTCTTCTCCCGGAGCACGGCATGGAGAGCAGAGACCAGGTGCACTCAGCAGCTGCAGGGAGGCACAAGTGGGCACAGGGCTGTGGGCACAGCATGGGGACAGAGGGATGGGCAGCTGCAGGGCCAGGCACAGCCAGCCCAATGCAAGGAAAGGTCCTTGGAAGATGGCACTCGTATCCATACGCCTCCTGCACTGCCCATCCAGGGTGCTGCCTGGGGAGGAGGGAGGCCCCGTTGCAAGGCTGGAGCCAATGCTGAGGAGCTGGGCCTCTGCCCTGACCGGGCTGTGGAATGCAAGCTTGCAACAAGGCCGCGGTCCACAGGGGGCTGGGGCCACCTGTGCATTTGAGATGCTGCACAGTGCCTGAGAAACCACACTGTACTCTAAATTGAACTCTCCTGTGGTCGGTGGCTCCTGTACCCAATGGTGCTGTCCTAGAAGAGGACAGCTTGCTGGAACCCTGCTCAGGAGGCACCCTCCCTCAGGATGATGCCAAGAGACCTGGAATCAGGGCTACGTGGCAGGGAGTGAGGGGAAGGGCCTAGGAGATGCTGGGAAGGGTGGGCAGGGCCCTGGGGCAGGGTGTGGGAGGTGGAAGGTGAAGACTACTCTTCCAACCAGGAGACCCACACCAATGGGAATGGCAGGTGCTGGTTCTACCCTGCAGGGACTCAGGTAGTTCATACCTGAGCACCCCTACCTCACCGATGGGAAAGAGGCACACAGACTACAAGCGACCTCCCATGTCAGAGCAGGCTAAGTGCCAGCATCTGGAGAAACAGGCAGGGAGGGCTGGGCATGAAGCAAAGCCTGGGTGCAGGGTGAGATGCTGCACTCAGGGCTGGAGTCCCATCTCCTCTGTCCACATAGACACTCGGAGCCAGTGCACCACTCCTGCCCAGACCCATGGTGACCACAACCAAAGCTTTAGGGAGCAGCAGCAGCAGGGAGCAAGGAAGCCAACAGACCCCAGAGCTAGCCCACAGGCCTCCAGCCAGCACCCCACCACAACAGGCACAGGGCTCTGCCCACTGAGGGTACACGGCTGGCCAGGCCAGCCCTGAGGTCAGTCCAAAGGCAAATTTTGAACAAGCCCATAGATGTCCAGGAGAACAGCCACTTGAGCTAAGTCATGGACGGGCATGGGGATCCAACCCATGGGTGTGTGCTGGCCAGCACCACAAATCCCAGCACGTCTGAACAGCTCTCCTGCTGCTGTCACTAGGTCGTCACAGCAGGCTTCTCGTTGTCCTCTAAATTGTGTTTTTCTAAACATAACCATCCTCAGCACACATTTCTACAGTGTTTTGTTGCCAAACAGAAACCAATTATTTGCCCAAGTCAATTCTGTGCTTCCAATATGTGCTCACCTTGACCCACACAGAAACCCTGACCAGAGGGCTGGCGCACTCCTCCTGGGAGTGAGCAGAGGGGTGCCCGGCACCTGTCTGGACGCAGCGACCGAGCTGCTTGCGGTTGCAAGGTGGCCCAGTCACAGGCCAGGTGCACACACAGCACTGACAGGTGCCCTGTGCTGTCCCGCCTGCTCCAGAAGCCACATGAGGCCCAGCAGGAAAGCCCCACACTGCCAAAGCCTTGGCTACAGCACGAGGCCCACACGCTCACCTGTGACGAGGGACGTTTGTGCAGACGGCTGCTCCAGCAGGACCATGTGCTGCAGAAGAGGGTTGTGAGCCGCCCCACCATCCCGCTCCAGAGGAGAGGCGCTCAGGTAGGGGGTGAGGTGGGTGCCAGGGAAGAGGGGGATCCGCTGCTGGAGGGCAGGAAGAGCCAGTCGCTCAGCCTCCTGCTGGCCCGCTGCACCCTGGAAAGCACAGCCAGGGATGTCTGGGCGCAGGGCCACGACCGCGCCCCGAGCCACAGACCCACGGAGGCTGACTTACAGCAGCAGGGCCGGTGGCAGGAAGTCCCAAGGTGATGTTGGGCAAAGATGGCGACGTATAGAGGGGGAGTGGGGCAACCGAGCCTTCTCGAGCCACAAGTCTGTGCGCCAAGCTGGTCTGCAGATAGAACACAGTGACCGTCACCCTAGAGCCTCTGAAGCAGTGCGCACCTGGAGAAAGGTGGGCGCCTGGGCCATTCCCTAGCAGCAGTCCTCGGTCTTCTTGTCACTGCACCTTGCTCCTCATTCAATTTGCTTGTACACCATAAAACAAGCAGAAGACAACTAGGACAATACAGTAAAAACACATTTTTGTGGCTGGGAATATCTTTCCAAACATGATAATGAATGCAGAAATCATTGGAAAAAAAACCCCTGCTCTCCTTCCTAGAAGGCAGCAAACTGTGGCTATCAGCATGGTACAGGGCAGACAGAGGTCCACATGCAAAGTGCTCACAAACCAAGGAACAACCCAAAGTGAGGAAAGTACACAGCCCAATCCAGGGACCACAGAAGATATAGTACTAAGGGGGAATAAACTCATGAAGAAAACATGCAACGTCATCAGCCTTCTGAGAACACGCTTAAGGACTGAGTGCGTGGCGACAACCTGATTTTGGGCACTGGGGATTGAACCCAGAGGCACTTAACACCTGAGCCACCTCCCCATCCTGTTTTAGGTTTTATTTAGAGACAGGGTCTTGCTAAGTTGCTGAAGCTGGCCTTGAACTCATAATCCTCCTGCCTCAGCCTCCTGAGCTGCTGGGATTATAGGCATGTTCCACTGCGCCGGGCACATTGGCAATGACTTTTTAAAAATGCTAATATCATCTTGGAACAGAGAAAGGGAAACACATTACTGGAAGACGGCAAACTGTGGTGCTTTCTGCAGAACAATTTGGCAATCTATCAGAAGCCTTAAAGGTGGAGCTGATCTTGATCCTGAAACTCTACTCTTAGGATGCAGTGTTAAGAAGGATTCCTAAGGAAAAGACCCATGTGCACACAGGACCTGGCCACTGGGCTGCTCATGGCAGCAGCATTACAGCTGCAATGTGCACCTACTCCAGCCACACTGGCATTAAGTGAATGAAGGTGCGTCGCACACTTGACTTGGAAGAGGTCCAGAAATGCCCCAATGATCATTATCTGGATGTTCTTTTGTGATCAAGTTTTAAGTAGAAAAAACACGTCATAGAATCATGTACTTTCTAAAGCTGAGCTCAGACTACTCAAGCGTAAGCCTGAGGAAGGAGCAGAGGGCAGGTGCTACTCCACCCAAGTGCAGCATCTCACCCTGGACACAAGCTTTGCTTTACGCCTGGCCCTCCCTGCCTGTTCCTCCAGATGCTGGCGCTTAGCCTGCTTGCAGAATGGATGGGCTTGGCAGGGGACGGGGCTCTACTTGGTCTGCACCATGCAGAGAAGACCCATCCCAGTGCACTCTAAAGGAAAGCAAGAGCCAACTATGGTGCAGGGACACTGTTCAGCTAGCCTGGTGGGCAGGCAGCAATCTGCATGGCATGTGACTCAACAATTCCATCCTATCACAAAGGCAGAGGGGCAGCTCGAGTACTTTACAATTTCATTTACAAGAAAACAATTTATGAAATGAACATCAGGATAAGTTGATGTAAGGGAGGTGACCTGTCTGCAGCCCTGCTAGAGAACGTGGGGCGGGTAGCAGGAAGGCACAGTGCCCCCGGGGCAATGGCCACCTCATGCTCCTGCCCGCAATCTGCACGCTCAGCCAAGGAATCCTGTTGGAGACCAACCCCTGCCTCACGCTGCAAATGCTCACCAGGAACCTGCAGCTGTGTCCCTGGAAGGACACTGACAGAGCCTCTGCTCTCATGAGGAATGGCTCTGACCGCCCTTGGGATGGCCACATATTGCACAGCTGCCTATGCACAAGGGTGACCATGTGGCTTCTGGGATAGGCTTTTCCTAGACATTTTTTTTTTGGTGAGGGGGGTTCAAAAGTGAAAGACATATCTGCAAGTCATGCTTCCGAGAAGACGCCCGAGCTTGCCCAGGAAGCAGGGCTCTCCCTAAGGAGAACTGCTCGTTTAGAAGTTGTGATTCCTTTATAATCAACATTTTTTTTTAACCTAGTCACTCTGAGAAATAAAGCTGCCTCTGTGAATTTGCCCTTTTGAGGAGAAGTGGATGCTCCTGCTGTCTCCAGGGGCACCTGGGAGCAGGCCCCGAGCTCTGTTGCTCCAGGACGGGCTCTGTCGCTGCCTGCCAGGGCTGGTCTGCTTTCTAGCCCTGGCTTCCTCAGAAGCCCAAGGGCCTGTGGCTGAGCATCTGCACCTCATCTCTGGCTTCAGAGCTCTGCTTCCCCTAGAGGGCCTGCAGGACATGGTGGTCTTCCCATAGTGGCCTCAGGGCAATGGCCAGAGGAAGCAGAGAGAGCCAGGCCACCATGCCACCTCCATTTGCACCAGATGCCCCACTAGGGCAGTCCTGCTGCCTCTGGACCACATGGGAGGGTGAGCCAGCCCTTGGCCAGGAAGCAGGAAGCTCTGAAAATCACCAATCCTAATGGCATCTGAGATCCTAAAGGGACATCCATGTGTGGTCCAGCATCACAGGCCACCCCCACCTGTGGTGATGAGCATCTGAGGTGAAACCTGGACGGTCAGACTTGTATAGTTCTTGTGACTCCTTTTATATGTCTCTGAGTTTACAGTAGCTTAAGTTATATATCCCACAGTTTATAACAATCAATATATAACTTAAACCAGAACCATACAGGTCCCCCACAAAAAGGCACTGCTACGAAGATTCCAAATGCACACACCACATGAGCCTCTGTGCCCATGAGCAACCCTGGGACCTCCCAGGGAGGGGTGAGAGCAACCCTGGGGGACACCCCAAGGAGGGGCGACAGCGACCCTGGGGACTCCCCAGGGAGGGAGCGACTTCCAGCTGCATTCTGAATTAACTGTAGGCAGAGCTTAGCTGTGGCCTGCTCGCAGAGGGCTGTTAAAACGTCTAATAAGTAAGTACATACCTAAACTGGTCGGTTGAAGAGCACAGGTAAGAAGAGAAATTGAAGTATAACGTAAAACTAAGAGGAACGGGAACTGAGGAGCCCAGAGACAGCGACCCTGGGGAACCCCTCCCAGCTGTGGCCCTCGTCTCTACAACACCTTTTATACACAGAGGGTTGGGACTTCAAACGAAAATGCTAACCGCGCGTGTCCCAGCTTGGATTCTGCCAACCTTTGGAAGGGCAGCAGTCCTTTCTAAATATTTAAGAAGCAAACAACTACACTTAATAAATTGCAGCCTCTGTAGGTTGACACTCAGAACATGCGGGAGGCTCGTACGCTCTGCTGCATGCGGCCCTGCGGCAGGCAGCCTTCCTGGCCAATCCATCAGAAAGCTGGCTGTTGAAGCAGCCCCCGTGCCTCTCCCAGGCCCAGCACCCTGAACCCTCCAGACCCTTGTGTCCTGGCTGGCCCAACTCTCCCCACCAGCTGTGGAGCTACCCTCCCTGTGCTGGCCCTCAGGATGGGGACGCTGGGCAGTGAGCATAGGGGATGAGGGTGCTGGGACCTGTTGCAGCCGGGCAGGGGCCACCCACAGCGCTGGGTGGGTGCACCCTCCTCTGCTGAAGCTCCAGCGCCTGGAGTCACCCCCACGAGTGGCGTCAGAGCACTCCTGGCCCATGCTCATTGCTCACACCCTCCCGGATCGCTGCACCCCTCAGAGTGCATTGAAAGCAGGGTCAAAGAAGGGGTGCTGGGTCTCAAGCCTGGAGCCCTTGGTTCCCTGTCTGCCCCTGTGGTGCCAACCGTCGGGGAGCCGCCCGCTCCCCGACTCCTGCTGCTCAGTGCTCCTCGTGTCTCCCCAATGTGACCCTGTTGTTCTCACCCAGCAACTCCTCCAACGGGCCTGCTGCCTGCCAGGACCCTGTGCATATCACCTGCATCATGACACCCTCTGTTGAACATGCTTGGGGAGAGGCCGGGGAAAGATGGGGCTGGAGGGCCCTGGGTGTGTGGAGAACTAGGGTGCTCATATTTCAGGGGGGCTGCGATGAAGTGGGGGAGGAATTCCCAGAAAGCTCTCCCCAGGGCCACCCCCATGCCAGTTCCCCTTGCCCCATGCTGGCCAGTTCAGGGTGAGTGTAGGGGTTGGATGGCACAGAGCAGGCATGCCACTGACCGGGAGTACACTGACCTCGGCTGGGACGCTGGGCACAGCAGGCACGATGCCATTCTCAGTGCTGACGTTGCCGGAACTGCTGTTGGGTGAGCTGGGCCCAGACCCCGGGGCACTGCTGCACGCAGAGTCTGCAAGTGAGAGACAGTGGCTGGGGCCAGGCCCGGGGTGGCAGCTGCCTCTGTGGGTTTCCGCTTGCTAGCCTGCTGGCCGGCACAAATCCCAAGCAGAAAGAACATGGCCGCGACTCCAGAGTGGGCAACAGGAGGCTCTCCCGATTCCTGGGCCTTGCTGCTACCTCCTGGTGAGTCTGCAGAACTCAGGACTCCATGCAGCCTCTGCACAGCCCTCTGGGAAGTGCTTGCTATCAACTCCATGGCTCCCGTGATTTCAGGATGGTTTGAAGCACCTGAGAGGTAAGCTCCTAAACATTTATTAACATCCTAGCAACAAAAGACTAAGAACACAGAAGCCAAACAACTCTCGACGGCGGAAGGTCAAGTTTACTGTGCTCACTAAGAAGCTAGTTAATTAAGAAGCCCTCCATGACTGCTTGGAATGTCACTCCCTGGTTTTCCCAGGATCAGCAAGTGCCCAGCAAAAGAGCCAGGGGCCAGGACTTCACCAGCGTTACTTCAGAACACACCAGACAGCTGCCCTGGCCTGCCTACCAGGCAGCGGGCTGGGCGGGCTCCAGCTGACCACGACTTGTGAGAGGAGCCAAGGCAGGTCCATCTGTTTTCACACGGGCCACTGCCCCTGACTCTGGACACAGCAGGGACCCTGAGGGGGGCTGGGGAATTCCTCCTCTATGTCCTGACCCTGAGCACACAGTACCTCCTCCTCCAACTGGAGAGCACCCCAGCCCACAGGAGGCTGCTGTCCACAGAGCAGACTGAAAACTGGCTTCAAGGGTATCTCTGGGTTACAAGGAGGAGGACGGAGATAGATGGTGGGCATGGAAGCCACTGTCCCTTGGTGCTCCACAGCAGGCAGGTTCAGCTCCAGCAGCTGCGCTGTGCTGAGCTATGAGGTGGGCGCCATCCTGATCCCCTCTGCACAGAGAAAGCTGAGGCAGTAATGTCACCTTCCCTAGGCCACCCGGCTTGCGGAGGACACCAAAGGCGAACTGTCTTCAAGTTGATGTGGGCAGGCTGAAGGCTCACATCCTCTGTGGACCGAGCTACCCACCCAGGAATAGCTGGGCGGCCAAATTCCTGAGCCAGTGCCCAGGCCCTACGGCACTGCTCCTGCCATCTACCCGACCTTGGCCAGCTCTTGTCATAGGCCCCACCTGCCCCCTCCCCTCGTGCCTCTCACTCACTCCATCTACCAATTGCCAACTCCAGAGCGTGGCTTGGCCCTCTGGTGATGTCACCTAGGCTGAGCAGGTGTCCGCCATCACTCGGCCTTCTTCTAGCCCCTGACTCCACACTGACATCCTAGAAGCGGCCTTGCCTGGGCCCTCTCCCTGACAGTGTCTCCAGGAAACCCTCTGACGCTGCCTGGCAGGATCAGGGGGCCGCTCCACTGTGTGCACACGGGCAGGGCAGCGTGGAGTCATGAAACACAGTCACCCGACTGCTACCCCTTTAACCGACCCACTCAGGACTCTGACCTGAGGAAGCAAGCGCCCTGCAGGACCACGGTGGACGGTGGACGGTCTGCACTGGTGAGAGGAGAGGCCTGGCAGCAGGGCTATACAGGCACCTCACAGGGCGGGGCCCAGGCCCCCCTCGTGCTCTTCATCCAGCCTGAGTCTAACAAGTGGCAGAGTGCGAGGCTGCCTGTCCGTGACTTCCCGCACGTCTGCGTGGCTCTCTCCTGCCCCAGGACTCCACCACCTCCCCACTGTGTGTGGGACCACCTCCCTGCAGCCCTGACTGTCCCAGCTCCTCTCCCAGCACTGTCTCCTCTGTCCATCAGACCACAGTTCAGAGGCCACCTTCTCCACAGCTTCTGGTCTCACCATGCTACTTGCCCACCCTGCCCTGGAGCTGCTGGGGCACACCCTTCATCCAGCACAGCTCAGCACTAACCAGGCCACCCATGTGACAGCTGGGGGTCCCCAGGAGGCTGTCAGCTCCGGGAAGGCAAGGAGCCTGTCTCACTGCTTCTGTGCCCAGCTCTGACATTTAGATACCATTAAGCAGTCACTGGGTGACAACAGGAACTCGAGATGTGACACTCAGAAGCAGCTGGCTGAAGGCGCCATCTTAGCAACCTTTGGCTGGGACGTTGTGGGGTCTGGTGTACCAGAGCCAGCCTGAACAAGCCCGCGCACGGGGACAACGTGCCTGGGTGTTGGAACAGTTTTCAGCTCATGGGCCCCAGTTCCACTGAGTCCTCCTAGTTTATCAGACTGGTGAGACTGGGCTCCAGCATCCCTTGATCTCTCTTGCCAGAAAGTCTCTACACAGAACCATCAGAGGAAAGAGCCACTCACAAAGGAAGACAAGGACGAAACGGGCACTCCCAATGGATGAAGGCTTCAGCCTCGAATGAGTGCACAAAGGTCAAGGCCAGGGCAGCTGGAGAACCCTGGAGCACGCAGGGCAGGGATGGCCAAGCCACGTCCAGAAGGGAAGCTCTCCTCTCATGCCTTAGGGGAGGGTTGTGCTGAGACCTGGCCATTCACCAGGAAGGGGCCAGTTGGGAACCTCCCCAGCCTCTTCCCCAGCAGCAGCACACTCCCCAGGACACACTAGACTAAACCGGCCCAGGGCACTCAGGACTCCTCCCGGCCTTCCAGTGCACCTGGCCTCCTCTCCAGGGCATCTGGGAGCAGCCCTTGTTTCCTGGTGCCAGGACTTTGAAAAGTGGAGGTGCACCTGGAGAATAGGCCCTGGGGTGCAGCTGGGGGCTGTGCTCCCTGAGTGAGGAGCTGGGATCCACCCAGGGCATAGGGTGCTGAGTGAGATGCACCTGTGGGACTTGGAACTCTGGAGATGCTGGGGGACACCTGTGGAGAGGGACTGAGGAGTCATGCTTCTGGACAGGTGTGTCCTCAAGAGGCAGGAAGTGGCCCAGTGGGTCCTGGTCCTCACAGTGGGGTGTCTGGGCAGGGGGTGCTCACGAGGTTGCTGCCCTCAGAAAGGGGCAGGGAGGGGGTGCTGACCCTGCCTGTTGGCACTCTGCTGGTGTGGACCACTCACGGGGCCAGAGGCACCAAGGTACCACAGTGGAACAGCGTGGAACAGCGGAGCCCCTGGTGTTCTCCTGCTAAGCTCATGGACACTGCTCTGTGAGCAGGGGGAGCAGGCAGGAGCAGGCGACTGACCATGAACACCTTCAGACGAACCTCAAATACATCTCCCATGACACAAGGTGCCTGGGCCTAATACCTGACCCAGGGAGCGGGCACCTGTTGAGGCATTCCTGGTACTGACCCTCAGTGGCCTGCCTGACACTCTGGGCTGATGGCGCCAGACCCAGCCACAGAGTTTCAGAGGCACCACAGAAGAGCTGGCTTCCACAGGAAAGCTGCACAGTGCGGCAGCAGGAGCAGTTTATCTGCTTGTCTGACATACCTGTGACATCCAAGGGACGCTTTTTTAGAGCAGTGACCACAGGCCCATCTTTCCTGCGCAGGAGAGGGCTGCTCCGTCTCTCAGCCACTTTCTGCTTAAGCCTGGACCTCAATTTCAGGTTGGGTTCAGAAGCTGCAAAGAAGGAGATATCATCACAGCGAGGCAGACACAGCGAGGGTCAAGGGCTTCACAACGGTGGCTTAAAAATGTGCACACTTGGCCAGGCAGGGTGGCACACGCCTGTGATCCCAGTGGCTCAGGAGGCTTAGGCAGAAGGATAACAAGTTCAAAGCCAGCCTCAGCAACTTAGGGAGGCTCTGAGCAACTTAGTGAGACTCAATCTCTAAATGAAATATATAAAGGCTGGAGATGTGGCTCAGGGGTTAAGTGCCCCTGAGTTCAATTCCTGGTATCAAAAAAAAAAAAAAAAGAAAAGAAAAAGCACACTGGGGTAATGACCACTCAGCACGGCAGTGCTGGGCTGGCATGGGGTGCCGTGTGAAAGGAAGAGCCTACACCTCAGCAGGAGACGGGGACCGGGGCGGCTATCTGATTTACTAGGCAGGGTCCAGTGTGGGTGACAGTCACTTAGTGGTGACATTTCTTAAATAACCTCCTCCTAGATCCTTCCAAGCAGACATCCAACTGCTTGGAAGTCTGAGGGAAGTGGACACAACGGGGGCCCTCTTGGGGCCGTGGCCATGACGCCCACATCTTGTGCTTCCTTTTCGTCTGCAGATGCCCACAGCCCAGTTCAGACACCAATGGCCTCTGTGAAGGCAAGCGAGGGCCTGAAGCAAGAAGGGCTGCCCCTACCCCACGTGATGCGAGGACACCCAAGCCAATTCTGGGGTCTGAGTGCCAGCGCCAGACGCCCTCAGCGCTCACCTTGCCACTGGCACAGCCAGCGTGGGACCTGTCGTGGTGCCTGTCAGAGCCCTCCTGTGTGGACAGAGGCCACCTGCATGTGGAAGCCCACAGTGGTCCCCAACGCCTGTGTGTGGGAGCCAGACCCATCAAGTCACAGTCCCTAGGTGGCCCTGTGGGAGCTCCAGCAGAGAGGTCCAAGACTGACTGCAGCCACCACCCTGGCCCCCCCAGCTCTAGCGCCATCTCTGGACTCCTCTGACTGCAGCCTTCGGCTTGGCCTCGCCCAGGCTCTGAAGCCGTGTCCAGGCTCCTCTCCCTTCTGCCACTTGTGGATCTGTAAGTAGTGAGACGCCAGCTTTCCACACTCAGTCCCCTGTTGCTCTTGGTCCTTCTGGAAAGGGAAGTTCCCTGCTTGTGCTGGAACCAGGCAGCTGACTCCACCATGGGCCTGGGTTGTGTAGACAACCACCAGCCTCCTCCATGGGAAGAGGCCAGAAAAACAGGCCTGAGAAACCAGGTTCTGGAGAAATGGAGGCTGTGTTCACCAAGGTGCCAGACTTGCCAGGGTCCCCCGGCTGCTCTGGGGGTACTGACTCAGGGTGCAGGGCTGTCGGTTTCACGGCATCTGTACACAGAGCAAGGGACAGTCCACCTGGATGGCAGCTGATTAAGGCTGAGGGACAAACAGCGTGGACACAGCGGACCCCACCTCTGTTAACAGCACAGACCCACGTGTTCCATTTCTCTATTCATTTTTCTTACATTACTTAAAAGCAAAAACAAAAGAAGCCAGAATCTGCCTGGTTACTTAAAAAAAGAACACTTTTTTTTCCCACCACCAAACTCTCAGCTGAGGCCCACCAGGGTTCCTGCAACCCCTTGCTGGGTCTAGAGACAGAAGCTACAGACCACAGAAGTAGCCTTTGAGATGCTGCATCCACCCACAGGGCGGAGCCTGGCTGTCCATGGCCCTGTGTGGGAGGGTCTTCTCTCCAGGGCTGCCAAGATAACCCTGGATAGTCAGTGTGGCATCATGAGACAGTGTGACAAGGACATTCTGAGCTGGCCACAGACTAGCTGTGCTACTGCAGATCATCACAGGGATCTCCTCCAGGCCCTGAAGGATGGATTGGAGGTCATCTCAAGGTCAGAGCTCTGACTAGGTTACCAGGTGGCAGATCCTGTCTCTTCCCCCATCCACTTATGTCCCCTGCTAAGGTTTGACTCCCAGAGTCTACAGGGCTGGCCCCTCTGCCCTCTGACCCACCTGCTGCCCTCCCTGTGTCTCCCACAGCAGGCCCCGTCCTGCAGCCCTGCCTGATGCCCCTCTCCGCAGCACATAGCGGCCAGCACTCACCCCGCATCCTCACCTCTCCACTGCCCTGCTCTGCACCTGGAAGGCCTCCTGGATTCTGCTCTGCTCCTGAAGGGCACTTCCTTGTCATGCAAGGGAGACTCAGGGCAGGACGCACCACCTGTCTGTACCCGCCCTTCCCAGCCAGGGCCTGCTCCATACCACGCAGGACCCACAGCCTATGAAAGTGAGGACTGGCCTCAAGCACCTCAAGACACCAAAATGAGGGCAGTGAACCAATGACCCTCTGGAGCCAGCTCTGCCTGTGGGATGGCCAGAGGCAACTGGCAGGCTGGAGGCCACCACTCTGGCACTTGGGGGGGGGACATGATGGCACAAGACCCTGCCCCTGTGGAATCTACTGGACTAGCAGAGCCATCTGCAGGCTGGGGAGGGGCTGTGCAGCAGGCAGATGAGCCTCCCTTCAGGGCACAGGAAACCCTCGCTGGCACCCAGGTTTCAAACCAGGGTGCACTTGTGCACCTGGAGGTGCTGCCTCGCTGGGCTGCGGGGTTTCTGGTGCCAGGTGGCGGCAATATGCATGGGCCCTGCAAGGCCTCGTCTCTAGCCTCAGCAGCCCGGGGAGCTCCCCAGCTGGAAGGAGCTGCTTCAGGACTGAGCCACGTCCCAGGAGCCCACTTCTGCAAGGTGGCTGAAGTCCGGACACAGGGTCTCCACCTGGCAGTGAGAGCCATACTTGATGGCCCGCAATCACTCCAGCGCCGCCATGGTCAGGTGGGGCACGTGGGAGCTGCACTCTGACCTCCCCCCCCCAGGCTGTCGGAGAGGTGAAGCAGCAGCGGGAAGCACATCTGGAGAGCGGCTCGGCTCCGTGAGCAGAGGGTGAGCATGACTCCACGTGGGCAGTGGCAGGCAGGGCTCGCTGTCTTCAGAGCCCATCAGGCAGATTACAAGTCCCCCCACGCCCAGGGCCTGCCTCTGCCAGTCTTCACGAGCTCAGACACCCGACACCAGGCTACAGACGGCTTTTCCCCAGTCAGTCACAGCACAGAACAACTCTCTGAGGTGGGAGGTGGCCTTGTGGTCAGATGTGCAGAGGGAACAGGAGGGCACCAGGCACGAGGAGGGGCGGGTTCTCCCAGAGCACCGCTGCTGTGCTGGCTCCATGCCCGCCCAGCAACCAGCGAGGCAGGCCCAGTGGATCAGCAGAGAGCTGTCAGCACCCCGCTGGCGGGGCTCAGAGCGGGCATGCTGTGCCCCAGCTGCTGTTCCCTGTGTCCAAGGACAGGTCGGAAGCTCTGAGGAGAGCCGTGAGGACAGCAGGAAGGCACTGAAGGGAGGCGAGCTGGGATCTTCAAGGGCAGAACAAAGGAGGCAAGGAGGAAAATGGGGACGATGTCCAACACGGAGCTCATGAGACCAGGAGGGCATGCGGTGAAGGGTCTCGGGCAGAGTGTTCTGAGACACATTTCTCTCTCAGGAGGTGGTGGGAGCCCCAGGGTTCACACAGCCCAGTGACAAGGAGCAGACCCTCCTGAAGGTCCTGTGCTGCTGTAGAGCTCTGGGAACACAGGATCAAGATTCTGCAACAGCCACGTGACGGGCACAAAAGTGACCTGACAATCCCATAGCAGGATGACTTCTGTTCTGGTCCCCGCCCATCGTCGGCCACTAATGGGGCAGAACAGAGCACTCCTGGCAGGAAATCTCCAAGGTTGAGTGCTCCCAGCAGGAGGAGGGGGTGCTCACCCCAAGGAGCGGGAGAAGCGTGTGAAGCAGACAGAACCTGGGGAAGACCCTGTGGGGCAGGGCCCGGTAGTGGCAGCCAGGGCTGGAGGCAGCCAGGAGCAATGCCCCTCAAGCCAGAGCAGAGACCAATGGTGCTGAGCCTGACAGTACAGAGGGGTCTCCTCCGCCTGCCATGAGAAACAGGCACATAGAAAACTGACCAGAGGGGGAGCATGGCCAGCTCCCATGGGTAAGGAGTGCTGGCAGCACACTCTGGCCCAGCAGACCCACCGGAGCTGACAGCACCATCAGGACAGCAGACAGCTGCCTTCCCATGTAGGAGCCGGCTCACAGACATTACTTTCTGATGAAGATTAGAAGGCAGTTCTGCAAGGGCAGACCACAGCCGGAACGCAGTCTACAACCCAGGGGGCAGACATGGAGCGCACGTCAAGAGTGCCCCAGGGACAGCACCCGGAGCCCAGCAGCAGCTCTGCTGTCCTGCCGTGTAAGCTCCAAGAGGGAAGAAGGAAAGCTGCCGAGCACTGGCAGCCCACGGGCTGGAAGGGAGGACTGCTCTGGTAGACCGCTCCCTGGGCAGTCCGCTGGAGGGCACTGCAAAACTAAGTTTGCTTCCCAAAGTGGAAAATCATACACGGACCCCGCAGGCACAGGGATCAAGGGCCTCGTGTGGACAGCGCTCCTGGTCACGCCACTTGCAGTCCCAAGGCTGTGCTTTCACTGTCCCTCTGAGATGCACACTGCAGTCCCACCTCCTGAATCAACGGCTGGAAGGGTTTGCAGGTGGGGCTGGGAGGCAGTTCGGGTTGGATGAGGTGAGGAGTGGAGCAGAGCCCTGGGGTGGGCTTGCTGCTTCACCCTGACCCTCTGCCACATAAGGCTGAGGCAGGAAGGCCCACCATATGCCAGCAAGTGCTGGTGCCATGATTGTGAGCTTCCCAAAAACTCTTCTTTCTGAATTTCTCGAGTACTGTGTAAGCCGGGTGTGGACTAAGAGCACTCTGCAGAGGACAAGCAAAGGCCCAGAGGTGAGCAAGAGTATCCCTGAAGCACAGTGCATGAGCAAAGGAGCCCACTGGACTCCGGCAGCTGATCTGGACCCACTGGCCCAGTGACAGTGGCCACCCTGGATGCATAAGGCATGGGCAGCCCACTCGCTTCTGTCACAGGGAGGTGAGACACTTGAGAAGGCGCAGGTGTGAACCATCGTCCAGGGAGTCCACCGCAGCACATGCCAACAACGCCTGAAGGCTCGTGCACACATGGGTGTCCCACGGAGGCCCTGGAAGACCGAGGCACAGGCAGACTGAGCTGCAAGGTTACAGTGAGCCAGTGTGGACTGAGCCCCGCAGGTGTGTACATGGGCATCCTGCTACTGGAGACTGAGGCTTCAATCCAGGGGCGCGCTTCACACCACAGTCTTTTTCCTGCTACCAAGGCTGTCTAGCAGCATGGGCGAGGCCTCGCTCTGTGAGGCTTGCTCCATGAGGCTGAGTGGGCGGCTGGGGAGCCTCGCTGCACGCTGCTCTTGGTGGTCAAGTGTGCCCCCAGGTGAGACTGTGAAGGTGCTAGGGTGCCTCTTAGAAATTGGTGATGCAATCACATCTTAACGAAGGCCTTCCAGAGCACTTCCCGGGGTGAAAAGAGATTCCCCCCTGGTCCTCATGGAAGGGGGTTCTGGAGGTGACACTGCAACACAGATCTGTGGCGTCTCTTCCAGCTAACTCCAGAAAGACAGCTCAGCATAGGAGGCCCACAGCCACGGAAACACGTCAAAACGGCAGGGGCTCTGCCCACGACTGTAGGCCACGAGGTTGCAGAGATCAGCAGGGACCGCCATGTGACTGTGCCGTCTTCCACTGGACAGTCGCCTGGAGCTTGCTCCCAACCACTCACGCAGCCTTCTGCTTCTCAGCGTGGTGTTGCCTGTGACTCGCTGGGGGCCGGGGAGAACCGGGCGTACCCCACCCCCTCCCTGCTGTCCCGGCCAGGGGATGCCTGGAGCCACTGGGGAGCCAGGTGGAGCAGGTGGTGTGCACTGTGCCTTGCTGGGGAGGAGTTTGTGGCTGCTTTCAGGAGGGCATGACCCTTAGTGAGAGCCGACTGCCCTGTGTGACAGCCGAACTCCACCCTCCACTTTTTGGAGACACCCATTCCTCCACTGGCACCCCTGGCCTGGCATGGCGGCCCTATCACACAATCCCAGGCAATGCCAAGCCCTACTCGGGCTGAGCTAAGGTGCCCTCCTGTCAACTCCCTGCTCCTGACCCCGCTCTGCCTGGGGCCACGCCATGTTGACCCGAGGCCTCCTCCACCCAGCTGGGAAGGCAGGGAGCCCTGGCTTCCCACAGGCTGTCTGTCGGGTGAAGCAGCTGGGTGTCTGAGTCCTTCAGTACATTTCCACCCAGAGCTGCCTGGAGTTCTGTGGGTACATAGAATTGGTGCAGTCTAAAGTCTATCCCTGCAACAGCGAGATGAGGGTGTCCCTCCTCTGTGCAGGCTGATGCAGCTCAGCTCTCACCCTCTCTGCAGAACCCCAGGAGGAGCAGCCTTCTCAGGGCCCTGCCCTTCTTGCCACCCCAATGGACTACCCACAGTCACCCTGACCCTTCTCCAAAGCCACTGCCCAGTTAAACCATAAGCCCAACAGCATCCGGTTGACTTTTCAGACTGCTCCAGTGCCGCCTCCCTGCTTCTAGAATAGGCTTGATGCCCTTCTCACTCTGCACAGAACAGAACTCCTGCACCGAGCTGTGGCCACCTGGGATTGCCCCCACAGGACAGGGTGGATCTTGTTCTCACAGGGCCCTCCTCCCTCTCTGGGTCCCGACCAACTCCTGCTGGACACTGCGCAGATCCAGCAGAGGGCTGCTGGCTGACTCACTCACCTGCTGAACATGCYTGCCTGAGGAGCAGAGCTGTGCATCCCTGGACAGCAGTGGGCCCTGCCCTCGCCCAGGGAGGACTAGCAGGCGTATGTGTGTGGGGCTATGTGTTTTGGAATGAATCAGAAGGCCATGCTTGGGGATGAATTTTCAAACTGATGCTCTGATGAGCAAAGCCCTCACTAAGCACATCCTGCATGTGGCCCAGCACAGCTGGGGTACAGCTGCCTGGGCAGAGAGCCCCAGGCCACAGCAGCCCTTGGCACTGACCTGTCTTCCTAAGAGGGAAGTCATCTTTGGCGTCATACATTCCTAGGACCGGGTGGTTGTAGGAGGCCGACACCCCGCTCTGGGGCGGAGAACTCTGGTCAAGAGAACTGTGCTGCGTTTTCCTAGAGAAAAGGAGAGAGACAGGTCAGCTTGCCCAGGGCACCCCTGAGCCGGCAAGTAGTGCTCTGGCAGCCCTTCCTCAGGAGCCGTGGTGCCCGTCAGCACAGCCCCTCTTCTCTGATGCCAATAAGCTGGCCGACAGGGCCACAGCCTCTCTCACGTCACCCAGAACTGCTCTTCTGCGATCCCTGTGCTCAGCTGTTCTCTGACCACCAGGGTCACTACCGGCCACACAGGGGCTCTGTCCAAAGGGAACAGAACAAAGGAAGACAGAGGGGCTCATGTCCATGGGACCCAAGATGAGGTTGCAGTCAGGCGAGGCGGGGTTGGGGTGGTGGCCACGGGCACGGGAGACTCCTGGGCTCTCTCTGCCTCCCTGAGAGAGTGAGCCCCTGGGGATTCTCTTCAGCAGAAGCCCCCGGAACCTGCCCTCATCGGAGTCTTCTGTCATTTTCCTTCCTTGGGGCAGGTCAGAAGCAATAAACAAACAAAAAAACCCCACACCTTCCTGGGGCTCACTCTAGAAGCACATTCTTTCCAAATGGCCGGGGCCACCCAAAGTCCTGAACACGGCTGGCAGCAGTGGGCTGGCTGGAGGAGGCGAGTGAGGGGAAGAGTCAGGAGTGGGCCATGGGGACTCACTGCTCCTGGGGTCACCAAGACGACCAGCACAAGGCCTCTGTGGACACACTGCCGGTGAGTTTTGCTCTGAACACTGACAGGGAGTGTACTACATTCTGTGGGTCTTTAAGCTGCATAATCTGCTTAATGGCTGGAAACAAACTGGCCAACTTTCTTATTTAGAATTGCTAGATTATCCATCCGAATGCACAGCACTCCACGTGCACGCACCTGGAGTTATCGGAGTCCACCATGGGAGCTCTGGAGTGCACCCAGGTGTATATTCAAATATCGGAACATGCACACGCATAGTGTGCAGAGGGGTCCCAGAGACAAGCTCCCGGGTCTGGCCCCAGGACTCCAAGCAGCTTCGGGCCACACCCCCAGGCAGGCTTCTGCTCTGAGGAGGTCTCCTCCTGTCTGCCCACAGGGTGCTCCAGATACACAGCCAGGGCTGGGGGCCTTCGTCTGGGGACAGGGAGCTTCCTGGGATTCCATGAGGACACGGGGCCTCCTCTCACAGTGGCCTCACAGAATCTGAGAGTCACACCATTTCTCCCCAGGACCGACCGAACACCCCCATTAGTCTCCTGTGCGCAGCGTGGCAGCCTGGGCCTTTTCTATTCACTCTCTCTTGCTCCTTGGTAAGAAATGCGGTATGACCTCGCTCGCGTCCTGTGAGTTAGAGACAGTCACTCAACAGCTGCAAATGACTTCAATGTGACCATCTAAACCCATCACGTGGGACACTCACTGTCACTGCACCTGATGGAGCATGCTTGGGAACCCAGTCAGAGGGCGAGGCTCTGGCTGCTGGGGATCTGAGGATCCACCTCACAGGGAGAGGAGCTGTGGGCATTAAAGCTTCCAGTCAGCTGCAGCAGGGGGCAGCTATGCACAACCCACCACGGGCTGTGGCTCCAGCAGGCCGCCATGACACCAGGATGCCCACTGGCCCAGTGGGCCTCTCAGGAGGGTCCAGAGCCATCAGAGGGTGCCCTCGAGTCCTCATGACCTGCGGGGAGAGCAGCCCTTCCCGAACGCTGCAGCCTCCAACAGCTGCAGCCTGAGGGAATGGGCCCCAGGTGCTCAGCATGGTGCCCAGCCCTGTCATTCCACACCCCTACCCATGCTTGGGCCTCCCTGCAGGAGGATCTGCAGGAGAGGGGAGCAGAACCCCATCCCCACACATGCCCTCCCACACCCCTATGTCATATACACACTTTTCCGACACACCCACATGCTCACACAACATACCTACTGCCACCCGCAGGTGCCCCCACACACCCAGCCAACCTCTGCCTCCAAGGGCCACACGGCAGAACAGCTCCCTCCACCCAGCTCATCCCTGACCAAGGTTTCTCTTCCATTTCTGCAAACTTCAATTCCAGCCTGGGTCCTGGCTCATAGAAGCCAGGGCTGGTGTGCACAGGAGGCCCTGGAGGAGGGCCCAGCATGGTCCCCAGACAACCCTAGGGCTGGGTGTGCCAACAGCAGAATGATTGGCCAGCATGCATGAGGCCCCGAGTTCATCCAGCACTGTTAAAGTAAACAAGTGGTAAACAAATTAGATAGCAAAGCCCAAGGCAATCCCTGTCTTACTGGAGAAGACCGAAAAACAAACACTGTTCTGCTTTCTTTTTAAACGTGATCTTGACTGTAGAATGAAACAACACAAACTCAGTCCCTTAAACCCTATAAAGAATTGGCCTTCCCCATTACATCAGACTTATACTAGTGTGTGATGTAAATACGACTCTTGCGTTTAACGCACAGAACAGAACTATAATAGATCTGCATGTGTAACTTCAGATTTTTCTAGTAGCCACAAGAAGAAATGGGCGAAGCTGTTTGAGTATTCTACTTAACGCAATACCTGAACACACTGCGGTTTCAGCCTGCAGCCCTGTCTTTACACGGATTGCCTGGAAGCCGGTGCTCCTGCCGTCGGCACACCTCAAGGGCACGCACCGTGCTTTGCAGGCTCAGTGGTCTGCGCAGTCCAGCAAATGTCAGGCTAGAGCACGGGTGTCCGTCCACATCCAGAATCCCTGCTCAGGGAGGCCCGACAGCCCTGCCTCCAGGGGCCTCTGCAGCTCACTCTGCTGGCTCCGGTTCCTTGTAACTGGAAGCAGCAGGTAGAGGAGGGTCTGCCCCATCTGCACATGCTGCCTGAGCCCCAGGCCGCTGCCGGGGTCACACTAGCCCTCTCACTGCTGTGCGGCCCTGGTGAGGGAGGTACCCTGCTTGTTGGATGCTCACCTATTAACCCTTGGTGGCCACAGGTAAAGGTGCTGTGACCACAACAGTACCAGCCTGGGTGTGGGCACGCTGTGCTTCTCCTGGGTAAATACCAGAGGTGTCCTGCTGGGGAGGGCAGGTGGACAGCCACCTCCAGAGACTGTCAACTCTATCCCCGCAGGGCGGGGCCACTCCACCCACCTTCCCACCACCCTGGCCTCTTAGAGCTGAGCCAGCCCAGAGGGTACGTGGCCAGTGCCCTGTGGCTTTGATTCCTGTGTCCTTGAAGACCCCCATATGGCAGTCTTCTCATGTGCCCCATGCCTCATGCGGGCGGAGCTGTTTCCATCCCAGCTTTCTTCTCCCGCTGTCCACCTGCATTAGTGAGCACAGGAGCTCAACCATGGTGTCCGACGCAGGATGGTCACACGCCTGCCCTCCCTCCCGTGTGTGCCATGGGCCCTTTGAGTTTCTTAAGGATGTCTTTCTTTCTTTTTAAGGTGGCTTTCAAAGAGAAGTTTAGAAGTTTCAAATTTTGATGAGGTAAATGTTTCAAGTTTGGGGTTTACAGTTGTTTCGGTGGATCTTTGCCTCCCCTCCCCCAGAGTTGCCGAAGCATTTAGCTCTCGTGCTGTCTGACTGGCTCTGAGCCACCTCAGTGTGGTGTGACACCGGGGCCACGGCTCAGCTTGAAGGTGCTGTTTCCCAACCACAGTGAAGGCTTTCCACTTTGGGGGTCCTCAAATGATAAACCTGCAGTCACCAGCTCAAGGAAAACAAGCTTGTCACCTGGCGACCATCCTTGAGATCAAGGTTGCCCCCTTCAACCGTGAGTGTCCCCAACTTTTGGAGTCTAGCAGACACTCCCAGGCACCAAACCCAGGGCAGTATCCACCCTGCACGTGCCTGCTCACTGGGGTCTTCCCATCTCCCCTCCTTGCACCCAGGAAACCCTTTCACCTCTCCTCTCTAGAAGGCACCTATTCCCAGACCCCGGTGAAGTCCCTGTGCCCAGCTAATTATAGGATGCCCCTTCCTAAGGGTCTCTGGACTAGGAAGGGCCTATTCCACAGCCTGCCTTGCCACTACTCCCCATCCCACCCTCCCCAGCTGTCCCCATCTCCATGGCTCTCCTCCAGGCTCCAGTGAGGTCAACCCTG